AAATGGTAACTGGTTAAACAATTAAATGGGATTCTATATCCCTACTGCTGACCTAGCTCCTCGTGTAGATTTAGCTACTCAGGGAGCTGGATTAACTACAGTGATGGGGGAAAAACATCATTGTAGAAAGTGTCTACATTATGGCAGTACAGATGCAGCGCAGTAGTGCCTATAGTGAGAGAGCGCGCCATGGGGCTTGTCTACGCTTCAAATGTGACAGCACTGCAGCTGCGATGTTTTCTCTGTGGAAGGTGTTCTCCGGTCACACAACTAGCTCAACAGAAGAATTCTTCCTTTGACCTAGTGCTGCATCCACGGGGTCTTAGGTCAGCTTAACTATGTTGCTCAGAGATGTGGATTTTTCACAGCTTTGAGCAACATAAGAATGGCCATGCTGGCCCTGTATTTCAAAGGGAAGTCTTCAAAAACAGACGGCTATACTTCAAATTTAGGTCATTGAGCCATCCACTCTCAACTTCTGGCAAACAAGGGCTAGATACATTAAGAGCACGATGTTTCATCTCTGTCCATCCTGGCTAAAAATAATTGATAGAGCTATCGTCCAGGAATTTTTCTAGTTATTTTCTGAACCTTGCTATACTTTTGGCCTTCTCAGCATCCCCTTACAAAGAGTTTCTCTGCATGTTGTGTGAAGAAGTACTTCCTTTTGTGTGGTTTAAACCTGCTGCCTTATTTATTGCTTTGGTTGACTACTAGTTCTTGCTTTATGTGAAGGAGCAAATAACACTTCCATATTTACCTCTATTATATTCCCTCATAGTCATCTCTTTTCCAGTCTCAGAAGTCCGAAGCTTTTTAATCTCTTCTCGTATGGAAGCTGCTCCATAATCCTAAGAATTTTGTTGTCATCTCTGTACCTTTTCCAATAACTTTTTTGAGAGAGGATAACCAAATATGCATGGAGTGTTCAAGATGTGGGCATACTATGGATTTGTAGAAAGGCATGATATTTTCTGTCTTAATATCTTATACCCTTTTACTAATGATTTCTAACACTAAACTTTTTTGACTCCTGCTGCAGATTGAGTAACTGGGTTGCTTTCATTATTTAATATAGATCAGCCCATAGAATGAAAAAAATGCTCATGTAACTTTTAACACCTCTGCTTTTTCTAATATTTGTTTATCTGATCATTTGTGTGTTCCGTTACATATTGTATATGCACAGTAATTGTTCATGGAAGTTAGATGTTCAGTTGTGCACCAAAATTACTGGAAAGCAAGCTCCTTGTGCCATCTCAACACTTAAGAATTAACTCTCACCACAGTTGAATGGTGGTGACAGTACTTTTTCTGCAGTGTTCTTCAGTATAAGAGGACTGTACAGTAGTTCTGTGTTTGGAAGCGTAAGTTGGAAATTAACTCTTTACATAAAGCTTCCTTTCTGTAGAAGGGGAATGTGTTTGTGCTGGCTACAGGGGTCAGACAAATGCATTCCACTGTCCAAGATCAGCCTGGGATTGAGTCACTTTCAAAGGCTGGTTGGAAATTAGGCTTTCCCCTAAGCATGGTTCATGGATGGAATCCCAGCGGTTGCTCATCAGGGTGTGGCTTGTGGTAGAACAGTGACTTCAGAACTAAATTAACAGAGAGCAGCTGTGTCTACTTTTGTAAGAGCACCTTAAAGAGTTTTGTCTAGAAAGGCATTTCCCAAGCAATTCTGTATGTCTTAACTCTGTATCATTCATTTCTTAGTGGGTTTCTTGCTCCCACAGTGTGCCAACCAGTATTCCTGTGAACAAACATTAAAAAATCAACTCAATCTGTGGGGATATACTTGATAACATTCTTCTGAGAAATTCGTCTCCTGGTAAACCTGAGCTCTGATAGTGAAGTTCACATGCCACAGGTGAACCATGCTGTTCAGTTATTCCACCTTAAATAAAGGGGCAAATTGTCCCATATTTTCTGTTTCTCCTCTTCCGTCAGTACTGGTGGATCTGTGCTCCACAGCCGTCTACCCACCAGCAGTGAGTGGTGAGGTTTCCAATGGCAGCTGTTGGTTGGGCAAAGCTGCAGCATGCAGTGCTGGCCACTCCCCATTCTGGTGAGTGCAGTCCCTACTGTGTGCTGGCTCTTAGCCAACAAACCCCCCTCATCCTTGCCCTATTTCTAGCCAGAACTGGCTGCTTGCTGCTGTGGCTGTTGAGTGCAGGCAAGCGGTGGCTGGTTGCCTATCGCCTCTGCTGCCCACCCATTGACCCTTTATATGGTCCACCTCTCACTGCATTCTCCCTGTTGTGCCCATTCACCCTTTAAGCCCTGCTGCTCCTGTATATCCCCCCCAATGGGCACATCCCACTCTTAGCACTATGCAAAGAACCAGCCAGAGTCTGCTTCCTGGACCCCTGTTCAGCCCCGAACCACCTCCTACACCCATCTTCCTGCCCCAGACGTGAGCCCCCTACACCCAAACTCATTCCTAGGCTTGCACCCTGAAGCCCCTCCTGGACTCCAGTCCCCAAGCCTGGGCTACGCCCAGAGCCCTTCCCACACTCTGAATCCTTTGGCCCAAGATCACAGCCCCAACTCCCTACCCCAGCCTGGTGAAAGTTAGTGAGATTCAAGGAGAATGGAGTGAGCAGGGTGAGGCCTCAGAGAAGGGGTGAAGCAGAGACATGGCCTCAAAGAAGGGGCAGGAAGGAAATGGGGCAAGGGTATTTGGGTCTGAGGTAGATCTTACATTACACTTAAATTGAAAAAGTGATCTCATGGTTAAAAAGGTTGGAGACCACTGCACTAGGATATAGTGACAGGTATCATCCTTACCAGTTCACTACTGTCAATACCCAAACCCCTCGTGGATTTAAGGACACTTTAGCCCAGGGGTGGCCAACCAGTTAGACACAAAGAGCCAATAGAGCTGTGGATAGTGGTGCAAAGAGCCACACATCCCTCCCCCAGAACCAGGCACCCCCAGCCCCTCCCCAACACAATGCCCTCCCCCAGCTCCCCTCAGCTCCCCCCACTCTAACCC